GGCTCACTGCAACCTCCGCCTCCTGGGTTCAAGTGATTCTCCTGCCTCAGCCTCCTGAGAATCTGGGATTACAGGCAACTGCCACCACACTTGGCTGATTTTTGTATTTTTAGTAGATATGGGGTTTCACCATGTTGGTCAGGCTTGTCTTGAGCTTCTGAGCTCAGGTTATTTGCTGGGATTACAGGCGTGAGCCACCGCGCCCAGCCCTCATATCTGATTTAGAGTATGTTTTGCTGGGATTACAGGCGTGCACCACCACAGCCGGCCAAATTCTTGTTTCTTTGCACTTGAATATGGGAGTGAAAGAGCTCAGGGCCCAGCTGATGCCACTCTCCCTTCTGCCAACATTTCCTGAGTGCCTGCTTTGGGCCAGCCTTGGTGCTGGGCACAGGGAGCTTAGAGATGATGACACTCAGCCCTGGCCCTCAGGGAGACCCAGAATGGTGAGGGAGGCAGACAGATGAACAGAGTGCGGCGGTGAATGGGGCTGTAAAGGAGGGATGTTGGTGACGTTGGGTCCTCGTTGTGCCTGGGCGGGGAGGAGTCAAGGAAGGTGGCACAGAAGAAGGGACATCACAGAGGACAAGAAGGAAATCAGCCTGCTATAGGAAGGCCATCCCTGGTAGAAAGGGTCATAGGGACACAGGTCCAGAAGTGATGGCACAAAAGAGCAGAGTGGGTGCTTTAGGAAACTGAAAGCGGCTCCGTAAGCCTGCAGGAACAGGCATGTGAGTGCTGCAGAGGGAGAAGGCAGGGCAGGAGGGCACGACATGGGCTGGGAGGCAGCAGGCCCAGCTCAGGGATGGCCTGGAATTTAGATTTTATCCTGCGTAATGTTTACACTGGGGAGTGGTGTGGGGATCTCAGAGGGAATGGATTGGTGAGGTATCTCTGAGAATGGGATCTGTGGGATGTGGTGATCTCCTGCTGGTTGCAGAAGAGCTCAGAGTGACTCCCAGATTTCTGGCTTAGGCCAAGGGTGGGGATGGAGGCGTAACAGGAGGAAGATGGGGCTTTGGGATGAAGGTGAGAGTCCCGGGTCAGACCAGGAGGAGGGTATGGTGCCTGGGGGAGGTCCAGAGGGAGGTTGCCCAGTAGGTGGATGGGAATCAGCTCTTGGCTGGGTGCAGTGCTGAAGCCTGTAATCCCAGCACTTTGGAAGGCTGAGGTGGGCAGATCATCTGAGGCTGGGAGTTTGAGACCAGCCTGGCCAACACTGTGAAACCCTGTCTCTACTAAAAATACAAAATTAGCTGGACGTGGTGGTGCACACTTGTAATCCCACCTACTCAGAAGACTGAGGCAGGAGAATCACTTGAATCTGGGAGGCCGGGTTTGCAGTGAGCTGAGATCATGCCATTGCACTCCAGCCTGCGTAACAGAGTGAGACTCTGCCTCAAAAAAAAAGAAAAGGCCGGGCGCGGTGGCTCACGCCTGTAATCGCAGCACTTTGGGAGGCCGAGAGGGGCGGATCACGAGGTCAGGAGATCGAGACCATCCTGGCTAACACGGTGAAACCCCGTCTCTACTAAAAAAAAAATATAAAAAAACTAGCCGGGCGAGGTGGCAGGCGCCTGTAGTCCTAGCTACTCCGTAGGCTGAGGCAGGAAAATGGCATAAACCCGGGAGGCGGAGCTTGCAGTGAGCCGAGATCCGGCCACTGCACTCCAGCCTGGGTGACAAAGCAAGACTCCATCTCAAAAAAAAAAAAAAAAAAGAAAGAAAGAAAAAAGAAAAAAGAAATCAGGTCTGGACTCAGAGTTAGGGCTCAGGACAATCAGGTAGTGGGGAAGCCATGGGGCCAGTTGCCATGATGCAGGAAGAGTGTGGAAAGTGAGAGTCTGGGGTGCTGGCTGAGGAAGAGGAGCCTGGGAGGAAATGAGGAAGTGAGCAATGGGAGAGGTGGGAGGAACCGGGAGGAAGCCCCTCAGGGGAGCCCAGGGGGGCTGAGAGGAGAGTTCAACAAGCCAGGGTGGCCAAGGGGCTCCATATGAGGATGTGAACATGGAATGTGGCCCTAAGAGGTCATTGGTAGTGCCCAAGGTCTAATAACAACTCTGCATTTTACAGACTGAGATACGAACTGGGATCTTGAGGCCCAGCGAGCGGAAATGGGTTGCCCAAGGTCCACAGGGACTTAGGAGCCAAGCTGACTCCTGGTCTCCTGACTCCCAGTTGAAGGCTGACCCCCAAGAGACAGCTCCTGAATGATGGGGTTAAGTGACCGCTATGTAGCCATAGCGGGGAACTGATGGGAGAAGACCTGGTCTCTGCCCCTGAAATTGGGTTTCAAGGTTCACGCAGCAAGCAAAATTGACATTAGACACAGAGGTTGTACTGAAGGTCTGGAATGGGTGACTTCAAAGCAAGGGCAAGAGGAATTCTCTCTTTGAAGACAGCTCAGCACATTTGTAGACTCAAGTAGTAGCTGCAGGGGGATGGCCAGAATGACCTATGCCCCTTATGCAGTTACTGCGTGACTTCCCAGACGAGCTGAGAGCTGACATTGCTATGCACCTGAATCGGGAGATCTTGCAGCTGCCACTGTTCGGGGCAGCCAGCAGGGGCTGCCTGCGGGCCCTATCGCTGCACATCAAGACCTCGTTCTGCGCTCCGGGCGAGTACCTGTTGCGCCGTGGGGATGCCCTGCAGGCACACTACTATGTCTGCTCCGGCTCACTTGAGGTGCTCCGAGACAACATGGTGCTGGCCATCCTGGGTAAGGACCCCGTCACCCCTGATTACCTACCCTGGAACCACCCCCCACTCCCCGCTGCCGAGGACTTGGGAGTGGCCAGGATTCTAGGGAATGGGATACTCCTTGTGGATACCTACAGTTCCTGCTGAGGAATACTCTCTCAGTCCCTTCACCCTATGACCATTCCCTTTTGACAATTCCCCTCTGATTATCCCCTAATCCCCTTAGGCATCCCTCAACCCATCAACCCCTCCCAGTGACTGTCCCCCAGCTCAACTGATCCTTTCCCATTGTTCCACTTCCCAACCCCATTGACCCTAAACTCCAGTCACTTTTACCCTCTAACTGACCTGATCCCTCCGGCCATTGTGATTTTTATCACTCAATTACATCGATCATTCCTCTGGCCCTACTCACTCCCACTGACTGTCTCCCAACCTCACCAGTCATTCTCCACTGACCTTTTCCCAATTCCATTGGTTATTTCCACCAGTCCCATTGACTGGCCCACCATCAACCGTCCTTCAAACACACTGACCACCCCTCAAATCCACTGAGCACCTCCAGCTGATATCCTTTTGTTCCCACTGCCCCAGCTGACTGTCCCCATCCCTTACCTACAGGGAAGGGGGACCTGATTGGAGCAGATATCCCTGAGCCGGGGCAGGAGGCTGGGCTGGGAGCAGACCCAAGCTTCGTGCTGAAGACCAGTGCTGATGTGAAAGCTCTGACCTACTGTGGCCTGCAGCAGCTGAGCAGCCAAGGGCTGGCTGAGGTCCTGAGGCTCTATCCTGAGTATGGGGCTGCCTTCCGGGCTGGCCTGCCCCGGGACCTCACCTTCAACCTGCGCCAGGGCTCTGACACCAGTGTATGTACACCCCTGATGGCCGCCATCCTTCCAGAGTCCCTTCCTCCAAAGCAGACCTCCCCAGCCTGAGAGTCCCATGAGCCTCCCTCCACCCTAAAAACATCGTGCCTGAAGCCCAGGCACCCTACCCCATTGCCCCTTACCTGCTTCATACCTTCCAACCCTGCTGACACTACACTGGCCATCACCCAGGCCCCTGGCCATCTCTCATCACCTTCTACTCCCAACTCTACTGCCCCATCTCCACTGACCACCCCTCAGCCTCACTCCAGACTCCTGACTCCTTCAAAGGACCCTCCCTTTGTTTCTTTGTGTGTGTGTGTGTGTGTGTGTGTGTGTGTGTGTGTGTGACAGTCTTGCTCTGTCACCCAGCCTGGAGTGCAGAGGCGCGATCTTGGCTCACTGCAACCTCCGCCTCCTGGGTTCAAGTGATTCTCCTGCCTCAGTCTCCCAAGTAGTTGGGATTACAGGTGTGCACACCATGCCTGACTAATTTTTGTATTTTTAGTAGAGACAGGGTTTTGCCATGTTGGCCAGGCTGGTCTCAAACTCCTGACCTCAGGTGATCTGCCCGCCTCACCCTCCCAAAGTGCTGGGATTACAGGCGTAAGCCACCATGCCCAGCCACGACCCTGCCTTTAGAAACAACCACCTCATGTGCTCCTCTTTCAAGCCCCTCTCTGGACGGGGCATCATCGCCTGGGACTTCCCCTTCTTCTCTCACCAAATGTCTCCCGAGTCCACTGTGTTTTAGGCTCTGGGCCAGGCCTGTACGTTACACTTTGGGCCTTGGTCTTTTGCTGCTTTTCAGTCTCGCTTTGCTATGCAGTGTTTGTTTGAGTTAGAGTTGTAGTTTCTGACTCAGCTCCACAAAAGACCCCACATTCTCAACCCCATAACACTGTTGGGTGGGACAGGGAGGGGCTGCGCTCTGGCCGCGGGGAGGCGGGAGTCGGCTTGAACTCTCCTATGTCCCCACAGGGCCTCAGCCGCTTTTCCCGATCCCCTCGCCTCTCCCAGGTAACACCCACTTCCTGGGTGGGGTTGAATTGCCCCGGGGAGAGGGTGAGATGGGGAGCAGCGTCCTCCTTTCCATGGATGGGGCGCTGCATCCGCCGGTGAAGGCTCTTACTTAATGAAGGGGTCTGTGGTCACTGTCGTGCGACATCAGCTGCCCCCTCTGCCCGCAGCCCCGCTCAGAAAGCCTCGGCTCCTCCTCAGACAAGACGCTGCCATCCATCACAGAGGCCGAGAGTGGCGCGGAGCCTGGGGGTGGTCCCAGGCCCCGACGGCCCCTCCTGCTGCCCAACCTCAGTCCAGCACGGCCTCGGGGCTCCCTGGTCAGCCTTTTGGGCGAGGAGCTGCCCCCATTCTCAGCCCTTGTCTCCTCTCCTTCCTTATCCCCGTCCCTGTCCCCTGCCCTGGCTGGCCAGGGCCACAGCGCCTCCCCTCACAGCCCCCCCAGGTGCTCTGCTGCCTGGAAGCCCCCTCAGCTTCTCATTCCCCCACTGGGAACCTTTGGACCTCCGGACCTCAGTCCCCGGTGAGATGCTAGCCTCCCCTCCCTTCCCCAAACCCCTACTGGCTTCCAGAACCTTCTCTGGGCTCTATCCAAACAGTGCTTCATCCTGTCTCTGCCCGTGTGCCCACCGCACCCTTCCAACCACAGCCTGCAACCCCAACCCACTTTGACCGCCGCTCTTGCTCCGCCCCCTGGCACTGCTGCCCCCAGTTCCCCTCTGTCTGCTCTGCTCTGGCCCTTACCCTCACCCCATGGTGCTGATGAGCACTACCCTGTCCCCAGGATAGTGGATGGCATTGAGGACTCTGGCAGCACAGCTGAGGCCCCTTCATTCCGGTTCAGCAGGAGGCCTGAGCCGCCAAGGCCCCGCTCCCAGGTGCCCCCTACAGGTAAGGGCCAACAGTGGACTTCAACCCCGTCATCCATTTGCCCATCCACCTGTCCATCCATCCCATATGTAGCAGGGGCCTACCATGTACCAGGTGCCATCCTGGGAATACAGAGATAAAACAGACCTGGCCCATGCTCTTGGAGTGAGTCTAGCAGGGAGACACCTCTGTACACAGATAAACAATTCCAGATGCTAAATACCATGACAGACAAGAACTGGACTCTGGTAGAAGAGGAAGGTGCCCACTGGACTTCCTTCTAGAGGAGGGGATGCTTGGGTTGCTGCTTAAAGGGTGGGATCTTGAAGGATGGAGCAAAACGGTTATTGAGCTGGGCATGGTGGCTCATGCCTGTAATCCTAGCACTTTGGGAGGCTGATGAGGGTGGATCACCTGAGGTCAGGAGTTTGAGACCAGCCTGGCCAATATGGCGAAACCCCATCTCTACTGAAAATACAAAAATTAGTCAGGTGTGGTGGTGCACACCTGTAATCCCAGTTCCTCGGAAGGCTGAGGCAGGAGAATCGCTTGATCCTGGGAGACAGAGGTTGCAGTGAGCTGAGATCACACCACTGCACTCCACCCTGGGCAACAGAGTGAGACTCCATCTCAGACAAAAAACAAAAACAAAAAAAAACAGCTTTTGAAAGGCATGAAAACCAGAGGATGTTGTGTTTAGACAC